AAATAAGAATTTAACCAATGTTGGTTATTTTTCTTGATGGAACGATGCAAAATTCATGTTTATTTTTTATCGTGATTATACCATCGACAGGAAGGTTTGTTGGCGGAAAGAAATGGTTTCTTTGATCCCGAGTTATATTCAGAACCACATTTGTTCCCAGAAACAAAAACCACGATGGGATACAAAGTGGATTTTATTGAGTGGAATATAAATTTCAAGCGAAATGGCCGAAGATTTTTCAGAATATCGTACAACCAGTAGTTTTCAGAAAACCGCGATTATGGCTTCTGTAGAGTCCCCGAAGTTCGAAAGAAAATCTTATAAGTTCGTCAATTATGTAGATTTCAACGTAATATTTTAGGAACTAGTTCTCAAGACTTAATATTTTAAGGAGGTGCAAACAGACGGAAATCGATTTTTGTAAAGTGACTAGGTGCGAGTGATCCTTTAAGGAAGGGTCCGTGCTCATAAAATCTCTGCCATGCAGTGCTCAATAGAACACGCAAAACGTAATTGTTTATACAAAACTGAATATATATTCGCTTTTTCAAAGTGATGAAAGTCAAGTTTTTCTTCAAATTGAAACATGAATTTTAACGAAGGTTGTGTTAAGTCTAGTTTTACTTCACTTTTGCTTTCAGTGGCCTGCAATCTCAATTAATTATTGCAACTTTGTCAATCGAATTACGGAATATATTCTTAAATCATCTTGTTTTGAAATAAGGTACAAAAGGAATCAGTTCTGTAAACTGTACGAAGTAGAATAAATTCTTAGGTCAATCGCACACGGGCGCAACCGATCAGTTTCAAACCACTCTGAAACTATTATTGCATGCGACCATGGATCTAGGTTAAAGAAAGATAGTGGAGTAGGTAAAACAAAGAGCGCAAACGGTTTGCAACACTAATTTCAAATCAGTTGCGCCGTGTGCGATCGGCCTTAGTACTTGCGTTGCCCAGGAAGTAGATTCATCCCGTCTGTACAGACATCAGTGGAACCAGACCTACTTGAATTACTACACGTGTATCTTTTAATAACTCTGTGGCGTGAATCTCATTACTTCTTTAGAACCATCTTTTCCAGAATTCCACTGTTGAATTTAGATTGACGCATCGCTCGTTTTTTAGGAAAAATTCATCCCCTAACGAGCGTGTAATTCCATTCCTCGATATGAAATGTCAATGTTTAGTCAATCACGTTTCATTGGAAATTAATGAACAAATTTTATAGTTTACAAAGTCATCTTTTAAAGGTTGAATTCGATAGTATCACTTTACTCTTATACGTTACTATAGTAAATGAACATAAAATACCGAATATCATGATAATAAATAACACTCATACAGCTTAAACGAACTCGTGTAAACAAAATACATACATATCCCAGGCGCTAATTGCCCACTTCAAAAAAAATAATTTCTCCCAATACACCCTTCAAGGAGTAACTCGTTGGGGGTGTCAGTGAGTAAGAATCTCACGTAACCTCCATCCATGAAAATAATAAATAAATGAAAATAATTCCCTTGTGAAAAATAAAAATAAAAAGAAGGGGCCCTGAAGATCCCATTTCCTCAGAGGCCCTGCCAATCGTAAGATACAACACTCTCCACCGTGGACTGGCCGGGTCGTCCATAACTCGGCCGCTTCAAAAATCAGGAAACACCCGTGGACGTCTATCTCCGCGTCCCTCGGATATCGCGGTCCTCTATCCCACCAGCGGCGTCGGTTCGCTCCCACTCCGGGTATACGAAGTCACACGCACACACCGTCACACGACGCCCACGCCGCGACGCGGTAGGCGTGGCCACCTTGTCATTTGTCTCCTCTACTTTTCCCGAGGCGTTCGGGGGATCCCGGGGATGGCGGTCTGTTCCCAGCTTGACGTATGTACTGCCGGCTACCAACCTCCCCCGCACACCCAGGTGCTCTTCTTCGTTTTCTGCGTGGCGTCTTCCTCCACCGGGTCCGTTACGTCGCCGACCTTCCTCTTCCTCCGTTGGACAAGCCTCGTCCCTCTCGAGCTAGCCAGTCGCCTGAGGGCTTTCCCTCTTTTTCGAGCACGAAATGATCCGGTTTGTCATTCGCCGCGTTCATCTTCCCTCCGTTGCCCTACGCGGCACGCTCGTCGTGATCTTCCCTTTACGATCGACGCTTTTGCTTTCCGTCGATGAGTCCCGACCTGATGCCGACTCCGCCGAAGGCTAATTGCGGTTTTGTAGGCGTTTGCGTCGAGGAAAATGTAGACCGTGGGCTTTTGGAGACCTTCGTGGGGGTGCTCAGTCTTCTCATGAAGTATAGATTGCGGGAAATTTTTTGGAGGGGTTCCTTATGGGTGTAGACTCGAGGTCTTGCTTCTTTGACACTGTTGGTGTTAGATGACGCCACGGAAAGGTTGTTTGAGTTTTTGATTTGGGAGCCTGAATGAGGTGGAAATATGTCATTTGGATTTTTATGTATGAGGGTGTACCATCTTGATCATTTATCTGAAGATTTAAAAGTGCGTGAGTCTATATACATATGCTCGGTATATCTTACGCTTGCTGGTTGTACCGTTTAATATTATTTGTACATGGTTTCCTCAGTGAATATCGATATTTGGCAAAGAAATTGATTCTAACCCGTCGGAAAGCAACATACGACTACTATATAAGACGAGTCCCTTGCTATAAGGCTTTAATACACTCCTTAAAAGTGTATAATAAACATTCATATTTCGTCAAAGTAATAACATTTTTCAAGGGCTCATCAATACGTTCAAAATACACCAAGCGAATCGGTCTTGCAAGGAAACATTAGTAAAACATTGTCGCACAGACGTTTCTAATCTAAATAGTTATTTTGAGACTCGAGGTTCTCGTACTCAATTTTACGAGTAAAATGTATCGCATATGCCAACCGAGTATTTCAAGCAATATATCATATCGAATGTAATACTGGTCTTCAGTGAATGTGTAGTGGAACAATTTACCTCAATATAACACACATTCCACATTGTGGATTACAATTTCTAGAAAAACGCGGAAACAGAGACCAATGGTAGGTCCACGAAACTTGATATTCTAAGAAATAAATTAATAAATAATTTGAACGTGAACGTGTTTTGCAATGTGCAGAGGATTCGACGTGGTTAAATAGCCACAAATAATGGAAAAACGTTCTCGAGTGCAACGTGCCATTAGCCACGTACGCAATTTTTCTGCCAAAATGTGTCCCAGATTCGGTGTGACAGAGTTCCGGTATTGCCTGGTTCGTGTTCACGTTTATTTCACAAGAATGTTGGACTGTACGGTCACTCGGAACGGTGTCGTCGTAACACGATAAGAGGAATAGATAAAACATCACTTGGAAATGGCCGAATTAGATGGTGTACTCGATGCGTGGAAATTTTTGTGATCAGATTAACCTACTGGTAATTGCAACAATCACGATTGTTATACCTGGTAACGTCAAAGGGGATATATAAAAGTCGTTATCGTCGTTCAAGGCTGATGAATGAACCATTGATCCGAACTATTCGAAATCAGACAATTATCGACTATAGTTGGAGTTCCTATTTTAGCTTTAAACATTTCACTATGAAGTTTTCGTACAAAAGTAAAAGGAAATCGCGTTTCTAATCGTCGTATATTTATTAATAATTATGTTTTCAAGCCTGCCAATTCAGTAAATTCTCAGTATCTGGAAATACAAATTGTTTCTATTTTAATTTCATCATTTACAAATTCAAGTGAAATTTGAACCGTTTCAAAATAGGATCAACTCTTCGTTACTATCGCTGGGTCATACTTGACCCGAAAGAAGAATTCAATCATTCTTGCATCTTAGTTTTATGTAAGAGTACTGTGACACAGTTTTTCGAACATAATTAGCAGATTTGCGAGCAGCTGTATCGCCGGGTGCACGAAATTGCGATTTTGTATTCATATCGGAGCACCATTTTACCAAAACGTGCTTTAAATGCGCGACACACCTCTGCATCGGTTGAAACGCCCAGTACAGAGTCGATCTTGCTCTATGAAGATAGATATTTGCTCCAATAGATAAGACAAGCGATAACCGCATGCACTCGAGTCGAATCGCGGTATCTTACCGAAGATTTTCTAGCCCGTATAGAAATTTTACCGCGCGATAAAGAAAGATGGCGGAAACGGCGAACGGTACAGCACGTGACGGTTCGTCGATACCATCGTTAAACAATGATCTACTACATGAATTTTAACCGTTACGGAAGTGACATTCAAAATATGGATGATCAAACAATGTTACGTTATTACATCGAAGTATAGCCATTTTGGTTAAGCAAATAGGCTCTGATCAACTAGCTTATTTATTTAAATAAATTACACTGATTTCATTATTTTATTTTCTGAATTTTATTCCTTATTTAAGGACAATGAATATATAGTATATTTTCCCTACTCTTGTGTTTAAATGTTTTTCTGAAAAAAAAAAGAAACATTACAAATAGTTTGGCATTGAAGTAATAGGATCAGACTATTTGAATCAATGTGTCGAAAGAAATACTATCATTTCGGAGCATATCACGTCTTCACGATCGAAAACGTTCAAAAGATCAACGTGGTCGTCGATTCGCGTGGCGACGAATTATTTTACGATTTACGCATCGACGGACAAAGGACTCTCGGTATCGCGGTCGATTTGATGGCGCGAAAGAAAAGATCGTATCTATTTGCATTTCCAAGAAAAGACGAGAAAAACGAAACGGCGGTGGCGGGACGCGCGTCGTTGGAGATTAAGCTCACGCACGGAGGAACCAAGACAACAAACGTGCGACAAGAAGAAAAGCAAACAATAATCAGAAGGTGAGCGAAGCACGGAAGAGAGACCAGAAGAGAAACCAGAAGAGAGATCGAAAAACGGAAACCCACAGGGTGCGTGCGATCGCAACGAGACCGGCAGCGGTGGTGGGGGTAGCAGAGTCGCATTCGTGTAAACGTAGGAGGGGCAACGATCGACGCTGGAGGGGTGAATGGATCGAGTAGGGGTAGACGAAGAGAGAGGTGCGTCGAGATACCGAACATACGCGAGTCGGTGAGCATTCGGAGCAGCGAGAGATCGTGTCAGCGCGCGAGGAAGACGGAGGATAGCTGGTAGTGGGTACGATAGGGGTTGAATCGAGGGGTGCTGTGGGGATGAAGCAGGAGATGCAGGCGTGAGAGATCGTGTGACAGGGGAGAATCCGGACAGAGAACCATTTGAAGAGAAAAAGAGACGGAAACGACGAGGAAGACCGGGAAAAGTGGGGAGCAAGCGTGGGTGCGAAGAGGACACAGGCATCAGGGAACGGAGGGATGAAACGGGAATCGTGGCAGGAGACGTCGAGGGAGATAACACGAGCGGCGGGGGAGAGCTGAAGAGAGAAGGAGCGGGATGGAGGGGAGTAAGAGCGAGCGAGCCAGGGAGAGGCGCAGTCAGACAGTCAGGCAGGCCGCCCGGCAAGCAAGGAAGGCAGGCAGGCAGGCTAGCAGGCAGCCAGCCAGTGCACCAGCCAAGACCACTAGATCCGCTCGGCTTACCGACTTAGAGACTTAAGCCGGCAGGCAGTCCGAAAGGCTCAACCGGCTAAGCCTGGCGGACCCACCTACTACCGACGCGCGGCCACTACACGTTCCATCTACTACGAAAACCGACTATACTACCGCGACCTGCGGCACCCACCGACGCTTTTCTTACGTTTCCTCTGTCTATCCCTCTTTCTCTCGCATCCCGCGGCCGTACGTCGTTCCTTGACGCGTGCCGTCAAGGTAAGAAGAGCGGAGCGCGGACGCCCGCGCCACGACCACCTCATCGACGTCGGTTGATCGCGATGCCGCCCCGGCCCTCGTGGTGACTCTCGACCCCGGTACACCCTTCGCCGCAAGGTGAACTGCGTGCGACGGGAAATCATCCCTGGTGTCGATAGATCGCGCGATCGTACGAGTGACCAGTCCTCCCGCACGGGGCTGTCGGCCATTCCCGGTGTCGCGGTATACACGGTGGTGATCTTCGAGGATGTACGCGTGAGTTGTGATCGGCTACGATACAAACCAAGTGCAGTGCAAAGGAATTTGTCGACGAGAAACGTTTCGGGGGACGAGGAACAACGAAGAATCAAAGTGTCTCGTGGTTCTCAAGAGGTGGATCGACGGACCGATATCAGACTCGAGGATTTTCGACTCGAATCGAGTTCCTTTTGGAGAATACTCGAGGAATCCCAGTGAGAAGCGTACGTGTGAGCAAGAACCGTAGTGCTGCCTATTGCGACCACAGTGCCGTTTAACCTACTTTCCATCGTGGGTGCTTCTAAATCTCCCACTATTCGCCTAGCGTCTCTTAATCCTTACGTAACTGGTCGTCGGTCGTCGTCGATCCGCGGTTACCCGATTGTTTATCAGTCGCTTGTACCCGAGTGGCGAAGCGCGTGTCTACGCGGGTTCCTACGACGCCGAGTTTCGCGGTGAGGTCGTTACCACGCTCGAAACCGATCCATGGAAACAATCTTCGCGATCCACCGACTTGTCCGCCTCGAACGGGTGCACAGGTGTCGCGGGACGTCGCTTAGCGACGGTACGCGTTGGATCATCGTGCTCGGACTCTGACGAGATCTTCGCTGCGGTTAGGCGCTTTCCTGGCCGATTGGACCTATGACGAAGACCACTGGACCAAAGCGAACAGGTTTACTTGGAAGGGAATCGCCGATATCGTTGGCGAAACGAGAAGATCGACGTCGTTCGTCGAATTCGCTCGAGGGAGCGAATGCTTAATCGTAGACGGTGGCAATCCAACTTCTCCCGACGGCCGTCGCTAGTGGTATCGCCGTTCGATCAGGAGGGACTTGTTGTGATTAGGTGCGCGACGAGCGGATGCGTCCCTGAAACGAGACCCGAAAGGACGTCTCGTTGGACGGGATATCGCGTGTAATTAGGCCTCTCGTGGGCCCGTGGTTGATCCTGCGTCGCGTTGTACAGAACAGTCAACACGACGTTAACCTTCTATAGTATGGAGCGGGGCGGCGGGGGCGGGGGGAGCCTCGAACTCGCCGGGGGCGGAGGCGGTGGTGGCAACGCGGATTTGTTGCTTCAGGATCTCGTTACGGGATCGACAACCGGTCTATCGGTCCAGCATCATCAGCACACGGCTGCCACGGCCTCCATGTCTGGCCTCCACGGTGACCACCTTCAAGGAACGATGCACCATCACGATATTCACGGGAACTCGCACCACGACGCCTCCATGCTGCACAACTCCAGTCATCAGCTTCACCACGAACCCTTGGAGAAACTTAAACGTGGTGAGTCGGTCACAACACCGAGGGTCGCATCGACCCATCTAACAACACTTAAACCCTCTATTGCATTTCGTGGCCGATCGAGAATCTAACGTATACGATCTCTCGAAGGGATGATTCTTCTCTTGGTAATCTTGGAGTTATTTGCCGATAATCGGGTAGAAGCGTGCTGAAATGAATTCGTTTGATCTTGGATATAAATAGAGGTACTTTATCTATTTTTGTATCGTTTTGTTTCGTGTGTAAATTAATACGTTGCCTATCAAATTGATACTCATGAAACTTTTCTATAGTTAGAATTTTGTCTTGAGACTATTAAAGACTACGTAAGTTAGCACTTGTCCTGTTGTTTTATCTTTTAATCTCGACAAATTCACGAATAATATACAGGTTTGTTTTTACTACTACCTCACCTTCGAAATTTGTTTGTTTATTTCTTTAATGAAAAGTCCTGTCACCCTTTTCGCGTGGAAAAACGTTATTCCTACACGATTGTTAACGAATTGCTTGATTTACCAGGAAGAATCGTCCTTTTGGAACATTATCTCTCAAGTATCGTATATGTTACCGCGAAAACGTGTGCCACAACGAACCTAAGAATTTAGTAGCGAGTGTATACCTTTGCTAGAGTAATTTGTGAATGTTGCATATCATGAACATTAACTGTCGAAACCATTACCTTCTGCTTGCAGTCCTGGTCTACTTACTATATACACATTCATTGGCAATTGTTTACATTCGCTGTATCATCCACTTTTACGGTAATATATGTAATATATATAATTCATACTTCGTTTTTGATGATAAAGCAAAGATGCAATAGAGGGTCAACGCGTTCAACCTAGCGCTTGATTTTACGTCCGACGGGGAAGTTCAAGGTGTTACATGAACTTTGTTACTTCCTCCTGTACAATTGTGCGAGTTCTAACATCGCTATAGGAACTTCTAAATTTTTAATTTTACGTAGCTCGAGCGCATTTTAGTAAATTGCAGACAGTACACCTCGTTGCAGTCTAAAGTTGTCAGAGGGGGGTCAGGTTATTTACAGGCTAGAATTCGCGCGATAATCATCGTCGACCATAAATTTGAAGATACGAAAGGTGACGCAATTCTAATTGCTTTCTTTTGTGTCTCGATCGAGAGCAGATAGGAGGATCGCTGCTTTCTCCTTCGTCGCGTATCGCGATAATCGCTTGTACGAGCTTGTCAGTTCGTGTGATTTCGTTGTTCGCGATACCATCGATTTCATACATGCCGGCGACAAATACTTGTCGCCTTCCTGTTCTCAAATCATGCACTGCGTCGTTGGTGTTATCGCGCATCATTTCAGAAAATCTCGTATCGCCTGACGCAGCAAATTTGCACATATTCGCCAGTCTGAAATTGCTTTGTTCCAAGCGTCTCTGATTGTTGCAACGTACGAAGGTTTGTAAACATTCAGGACAAGATTTTCATCAATTTATTTCGATGTCTCCACTTATACGTATCTTGGACTACTTTCCAGACAAGAATAATTACAAACAATTTTTCCTCTTTGCTGTTACACAGGTTCATTTGATATGAAGAGTGTCCGATGCATACCGTGCATGGCATATTTGTTGGAATAATATCAGTGAACACTTTCGTGTGATGAGGCAACTTTGCGCGTCGGTACTTGTCAGGTGCCAGCCGTGTACAGATAAAACATTAGTACGAATAGCTTTGATAAGCACCGCGCCCACCGTGTTATTCCAGCTCTGATATGACGTGACGAATAAAATTTCGGACTCGTTTCACGTTAATGCAGGCACAGTATCGCTAGCTATCATCGAAAGTGGATTGAAACGATTCGCTGAATGAAGTGAATCTCTTCTTTCAATGATGATGTTGGAGCAGTCACATTTTTTCCTAAATTTAAATATTACCTTTCCCAACCGCATTTATGTAGATGTTCTCCAAGTCGTTTTACAATAGTGTGGTACTTTGCAATATTATTCTTCCTTTGTATTAGGACTCAAAGCTAAGATAGAAACGTCTCTAATTCCTTGTTTATTATATCTTTTCCATATTTATGGCGTCAGGTCTGTTTATTGTAATAAATAACGACTAGACGAGTCACAAAGTTCGCTACAATTACGTCGACGCTTATCGTCTCTCGTCTCAACATTAGATGGTCCCAAAGCGATGAGCTCGCGGTCCGATTTCTCATTTAAGAGTTGAATACACCGTTAACGGGGCGATGCGTCGGTCCCTGAGATAAAAAACGAGACAACGAGTGCGTGAACAAACATTGAAGCCTAATTCCGTATCAGTCGTCGGTGTCACACGGTTAAAAGAAATGTTACCGCTTGTTCCACAAAAATTTATAACACCTAGCTACCAGTGAACATGTTGCGCGTTACCGATCTCTAAAGAAACATGTTCCTATAGTCTAGAAATATTCAAAAATAATATAATTCGCTATCATTTCAGTACACTTCTTCCCACACAATTTGATTTACATTTTTTCCTGCATTGTACCATCAATCTCGCTTCGTAACATCAATTCGTTTTTATTTTGCAATTACCATCGGTTCAATGACTCGTGAATACATGTACTCGTTATACGCGTTCCAAAGACTACAAAAGGGTTAAAAAAGAAAGAGGTAGAGAGCGTTATTTCATCGTGGGTGGAAGAATACAGCTGCACGTACAGGGAAGTCGAGGACGAAGACGATCTCTCAGTGGCGCCACCACCTGTTTTGTGATTCATTAACTCACCGGCTTATCGGGATAAGGCAGACTTATCCGGGGCTCGAACCCGACACTGCGGCTAAACCCGATCTTATTCCAATGGCATCCCACCTATCCCCGTTTCAGTTTCAGTCCCGCAGCCAGTAGCTACCACTTCCACGCCGCAGGTACTTCGGTTCCGCTCTTTACGAAATCGCGGGTCTTTTCTCTGTTCGGTGTTCACCCGATCGTGCACACCCCTCCGAGCCTTCCCACGAGGCTCGTTCGATTAATTCGAGACGAATTCGGTGCGCCGGCCGCGTTGATCGGTTAAGTGAATTGGGATTTGCATCCCACTCCCTCTGATCCCAGCATTCTGTTTAACGACGGCAAGACGCTCGCGAAGAACGATCCTGATTCGGTTTGATTTAGGGAGACGTTGCGAATTTTTCGTTTATTTGACGGGGAATATGGTGGTGGCAGGCATGAACAGATGGACGCAACCCTAAACAGGGTTCCATTTTGGTTCTACTAGTTAATTAGGGTTGAAGGAGTGGTTGTTTTGGAAATTTGGATCGAGGGGAAGTTGGTAGCTGTTCAGTCAATTGACTTATACAAGATTGCATTGTATTAAGGGGTATATCATTCTCGATCTTTTAAATGGAATACTCAACTCTTGTTTCCGCTATTCGAAAGACAATCGAATTTCGAACCAAAAAGCATTATGTAACATGCACCTTACAGCTAGTATTTACTTAAATACAACGAATCGCTATTAGAGTAGACTTTCTTACTGAAATTATCAGTAGGTATTCACAATGGCTCCTCCACTTCTGTTCAAAACTTAAATCCATTAACTAGTCAAAAAAATATAGGGAGTGTAAAAAGTGTAACAGTCTAACCCGAAGGATTATAGCACCCAGAGGTCTGTGTTAAAATTACAAAATTTTGATATCGTTTTTCATAAAATTGGGGTAGTCAATTTAAATCGTAATAGGCTCATTCGATTCATATTTAATCAAAGAACAGTCAGGTGAAATTTTGTTAAAATCCTCTATTAAATAAATCCATGGAATTATCCACTCCAATTATTCCTGACGTGTCAATTCATATGGCGGAAGATCGAAACCGAAAGGGCTCCGATACGTCTTATTCCAATGACCCAGAAGATCGCGCGTCTAAATGCCAATGAGTCTGCGGCCCAGAAGAGTTTCACCATCCCTGGGGAGGACTAGCGGCTAGCCGAGCAATTTGTCAACACCATTAGACGAAGGCAACAAGGGTTGACTTTGGCGCATCTGCCAGAACTCGATCTGCGGAGACTGCTATAATAAAGGGGTAGTTAATGACTACGGGGAGAGGACGGGGGGCACGGTCGAAAAGCCGGCGCAGCCCGTATGCCACCCTGTTGACAAAATATTGGGATATTGGCGTTGGACGAAAGGGATAACAGATTCTCGCCGGGGGTTCCCTTTTTCCTGAGCTGTCCACGACGAAATCGGAGCCGGATTTAGACGATGGATAAACGGCCAGTCACCGATCCACGCGGCGGTAACACCTTGGGGGCTAATAGGATATTGCGACCCATGCGAAAAGTCGAGGGGGCGCGATTAATCGTTGTAACAATTTAGTGTTCGCTCGAGTATTGAATTGTTTTAAAAATGGTGATGGCGTGTTATGTCTGAAATGAAGCAACCCTTCTGAGTTGAAATGAACATTTTTTGAATTCTTTCTCTAATCGAACGTGTAAGAAACTCTCGTATGCTTTGTAACTATTCTTCTGACTTCAATCCCTTGAATATTCTTCTTGTATAAGTATTCTGGAGATTAATCGTTAAAACAATTTACTGTTCGAGGATTGAGTTGTTTTAAAAATTGTGGTGGTGGGATATTAAGAAACTGGTTTGGAACTATTCGATTCTGTTCTCTTCCGACTCCAACCCCTTTAGAATCCCTATTGTAGAAGAATCCTAGAGATTCTACAAAAAACTTTGTCAATACCCATCACATACTTAAGATATCCAATAGAACAAAAGACTCGAACTTTGTCTTCGATTAAAAAGTGCCCGGATAAATTGGCAATTTCGTAGTCGCATACCTCTTTCCACGCATAGTACGTAATATACATTATAGACTAGCCAAAGCTAGTTAAGTCGCTCGATGAGCCGGGCCATCAAGTCGATTTTCCGGCTCGATTTTCTCGATCGCCGAGGCAATCGTGGCGGTCTTCTAAGCGCGACAGGAACCAAGCCCGTAGGATCAACATAGAAATGAACTGATTTCCTTCCCATTATCTCAGCTGCCGCGGC